CCTAATATGCCGCTTGGGCTATTTTTCCCACACATGATAACTGAAATGTAAACTATCAAGTTTAATAAAATTAACTTGAGCCGGCTTTTGATAAAGAAAACAGCCCTGCAACCGGCTTATTTGACGAGCAAAGCTGCCCAAATAATTGGTGAGCAGAGATGCCCCTGCTGCCACCATTGATAGTGATCACCGGCTGACACCATTGGAGCAAAGCTAACCTTATGCCGCCTGCATTACATAATGACTATGCATTATGGGGTTCGTGCGGCTGCTATATTAGTTGCAAGGCCGTTTGTATCAATCAGGCATCCACTTAAATGCCGCCTGAGTTATTGCTAATCATGGAGCTCACAAATTACCTCAATGGAGAAAAGCCACCTATGTTAATAGGGAGAAGCTTATTAATGAAATAGCGGAGTAGCTTGGTATATAGTGCCGGTTGTCCTATTGCAAGCAAAACCAACTGTTACTTGCACAGTGTCGGCCACCATAGTAAAAAGCAAGCCGCTCAATTTTAAAAATGAAAAAAATGATAAATCTCTCACTCCACTAGTTAATGAGCTAGTGAACTTTAGAGAATAAAATTAATGACCAGGCTAGCTGTCAGAAACTTGGAAGTATGGAAGTGAATGTCACTTGCCGCATGTACTTTCACTAATTACAAGAGTTTACTCTTAAAAATTTATTGTATTATATTATGTATAATACAATTAGTAACATTCATATACATATATATTTGTTAATATATATGATGTTGATAGTATCAAACTATCAATCATGAATAGCATGCGGCCATGATGTTGATAGTATCAAACTATCAATCATAAATAGTATGCGGCCGACTCATTGAATGAGTTGGTTTAAAATAGTGGAGTTGGCCAATTTAGCCGTCTCTCCCCTAATAAAATTTTGATTAAACGGTATTGCCCTTTAACCTTCAAATATGCATGACTTAGTCTGATAGGCCTTTTTGGCTGCCTGACTCTCAACATTCAACCTCACGACGCCTGATGTACTTGACATCCGGCCTCATGATGCCTGCTGCCTCCCAAAGGAGGCTCCCCTCTTGAGTCGGTGATCCACTACTGTTGTGCCATTACAGATGTGTCTCCCCACAGACGGCGCCAAATATTTTGGGGTTTTTTGTACGTACCCGAATGGAGGGTGTGTACGTCCCTCGGGAGACAGATCTGCAATGCAACACTCAAACGGTCCGATCACCTGCAAAACAACGGACCCCGGGGGGTCGGAGGTCCGCCTCCGACGATCAAGTCAGTGACCGAAATAATGTATTTTAGAGAGAGAAAGTAGAGAGAAGGGAGAGTAAATGTGGGGGGGGGGGCATTGCCCTTGGAGAGAGAATTCGATCCCCCTAAACTGATGTAATGATCAGTATTTATAGAGCATTGGGATATGTGCCTCTTAGGTTATTTAACCTAAATAGATTGGCTTCCCACCGTTTTACGGTTTCTAGGGTTGTGGGCTTAGAGCCCATTTTCACCCTTCTATCATTGAGTGACACGTGTCATGCTCTAATTGGCCCATTGAGCGCTGAGCTTGCGGACACGTGTCGCGGTAGCATTGGTCCACATATAGGGGGTATTTTTACCCCCAAACAAGCCCAATAATAATGTATCCCCATTAGGGGCATTTCACATTGATGAGGAACATATGGAAAGTGATACGTTCAATCCTTTGGACTATATCACACCTATAGGAAAGCCTCTAACCACAACACTCGTAGGGGAAACTAATGAAGTGTGTGGGTTATGGGATGACGACTTTCAAGACTTATATGTCTCTAAGTACGCCGTCGTCCCACCTCCACCTTGTCTACAAAATGAGACATTGGGATCATTTCTTGGGGAAATCCCAAGATTTATCAAATCTCTCCTTGGATGAACAATGACATCAGGCACAACTCATGGAACATCTCAAAATGGAGGCACACTCAAATCCTCTAGAATAAAGTTGGTTCACGAGTCATACAACTAACCCAAATGAGATATATCGTCTAACTCGTTCTAGGAGAGTTTATCAAGCACCACCAAATGGATCTTCGACCACTCAAAATAAAACTCAAGGTCAAGTTCAAAATTCAATACCACCTCCACTTGAGGTGGAAGATCCATTATTCAAACAACTTCGCCAATTTAAGGCGAATGTTAGCATTTGGGAACTCCTAAGTACTTCTAAAGAACATAGGAACTCTCTTATGAATGCTCTAACGACTTTGTCTGTAAGTACAGACACAACTCCCCAGGATCTCGTTAGCTTACTTACTAGCGAGAAATCTGATAAATCAATCATTTTTACTAGTGATGATTTGCCTTCAAAAGACACTACCCACAACAATGCATTATACTTAACTGTGGGGTGCAAGGGATACAACATCCCTCTAACTTTGGTGGACAATGGGTTAGCTGTAAATGTGTGCCCATTACGAATTGCAAAATATCTAGGCCTTAATCTAGAAAAAGACTTTCAATCAACAACACAAAGCATTAGGGCCTATGACAACTCGAGGAGATCGGTGTGTGGAACTGTTAAGCTACCAATTACCACATGCCCAATTCGATGGTTGAATTTCATGTCATGGACATTATACCTACATTCAATCTTCTTCTTGAACATCCTTGGATACATGAGCTTGGTGCAATACCATCCTCACTTCTTTAAATGATTGGGTTGAACTATCAAGGTCTTCCTATGACTATACATGCTTCTCCTCTCAAAATAGCAATAAACGATCAATCACTTCTAGAAACAAACCATGATAATGATAAAGAGGACATGTGGAGATTTGCCGCGAAGCTAATCTGCACACTAGAAATTGAGGAGAGCCTTAAAGAACCATTCAAGCTTGATCCATATTCCACCCTAATAGTAAAAAAAATATTATTTTAGAGTAGTTACTTTCCTAGGATGCCTTAGGGAATAGGAATAAAGAAATCTCTTTCACTTCCTATCCTAAAGAAAAGTTTCTCTTCTAGATTGGGATAAAAAACAACCAAAGAAGTACTATAGTCTCACGATGCTAAAGACAAAGCACTTAGAGACAACAATAAGCAAGGGATAATCACTTTGCTCCCATCTTACACTCAAACCCTTAATGAACAATTCATTAGGAAGGGAGAAGATTACCCATGCTATGACTTTCCAGAACCATTAGTTTTAGAGGGTATCAAGAAGCCTGGATTCGAAATATTCCACGATTTTTACTTCTTGAATGATGATCTCGAAATCGTTCAATCGAAACACCCAACTCCAGGGTGCTAAGATAGGCAAGCATTCAACTTGTTATTTAGACAAGAGCAAAACCATGTTGCTACAATGACAAATCAGAACGCCAGCCAAGATGAAGATTTTTGACCCAACCTCGTTGATCACTCCTTCTAATGAAACCTTTGAGCATGGATGGAGGAAGTCTTTCAAATGGACCAATCATAAAGGTGATAAATTGGAAATCATCAGTGGCAAAGGGAAGATGTTTGAAGAATATGAGGTTGAGTCCACTTTAGATTTTAAGGAAGCTAAAAGTTTAGGCCTTGTGGCCATTACCGAGTCTTTATTTTCTAGTTCTTAGGACGAAGATCCCAAAAAAGATTCTTCTCTTGATGTACTTTCTTTTGGTTTCAATAATATGAACTCTATTTCCAAGTATATGCCTTCTCTTAAATCTTTTGAATGCTATAATAATCAATCTAATGAAGATGATAATATTAACAAATTGGTTAAATTAATGAATGACTGAGAACAAAAGAACCCTATAATTAAAGAAACTGAAACAATTAATATATAGGAACTAATGAAAACAAAAGGGAAGTTAAAATTGGCTTAACTTTAAATCCCAAAGAGCAATCGATCCTCATATCGACGCTCAAAGAATTCGAAGACGTGTTCGCTTGGTCATTAAAGGACATGCATGGATACATAGGAAAATTGTAGAACACACCATTCCTTTGAACCCAACTTCTAAACCAGTAAAACAAAAACGATGAATAAAACCTGATGTCGCAGGTTTCATTTGCGTTTTTAATTACCCATAATGGGTAGAGAACATCGTCCTAGTCCCTAAAAAAGATGGACGAGTTCGCATGTGTGTCGATTTAGGGGCCTCAACAAGGCTAGCCCTAAAGACGATTTTCCTCTACCTCATATTGACATATTGGTAGATAACACGGCTAAATATGCGATGTTATCCTTTATGGATGGATACGCAAGTTGTAACTAAATTATAATGGAAAAAGAAGACAAAGAAAAGACGTGATCTATCATCCCTTGGGGTACATATTGCTATACAGTCATGCCATTTGGTCTAAAAAATGCAGGAGCTACGTACCAAAGAACGGCTACGACTCTCTTTCATGATATGATGCATAAAGAAATAGAAGTGTATGTGGATGATATGATTGTAAAGTCAAAAAAAGAATGGGACACAAAATCTTTACGCAAATTCTTCACTCACATAAAAGAATATAAAATGCAATTGAATCCAAAAAAGTGCGCCTTCGGAGTATCTTCTGGCAAGTTACTCAGATACGTAGTAAGCACACGTGGTATTGAGATTGATCCCTCTAAAATAAAGGAAATTGTTGATATGCCTCCCCCTCAAACAAAAAAATGAATTAGGTGGGTTCCTTGGTAAACTACAGTACATAAGTCGATTTATCAACAAATTGACTATGACTTGTGAGCCAATAATTAAAAAATTTAAAAAAGAGGAAAAGCATGAATGGACGATCAATGCCAAAAGGCACTACTAATAAATTGCTCAAAGAGACCTTAACTGAGAGACCATTCAATTAAATAAATGGTCTCATTGTTTTAAGAGACCCAAAATTTGAAAGAAATGGTCTCTTCGGATACAATCTTAGGGGATGAAAATGAAGGGAGACCACCTTTGTTAAATAAATGGTCTCTCTTTTTAATTATTTATTTAATTAAAAATAGGAGAGACCATGTCTCTTAAATAAATGGTCTCTCATTATTTATTTTATTAAATAAAAAAAGGAGAGACTACTTCTCTTAAATAAATTATCTCTTTTTTTTATTATTTATTTAATTAGAAAAAGGGAGAGACCACTTATTTTGGATAAATGGTTTTTTTTCCTATTCTCCCAAAAAAAAAAAAACTGATCCACTTGCATAGCAGCATAGTACTACATAGATTGCCAACATGTAAAAATATCAAAAACTAGAGCTCCCCCATTCTCTCTCTTGTCACAAACCCTAAAATTGAAAAAGCCCCTAAATTTCATCCTTCCTCTCGCCGTTTTTTTTTCTTTCCCTCTCATTCTCTAGATCTCTTTCCTATTTCCATGGAAGCTTTCAATTTCTCTCTCTCTGATTCAATTCCATCTCCTTGGTCTTATCTTCCTATGCTTCCATGGAAGCTTTAAACTTTTACCTTTTTTTTTTTTTCCTAATTTGGTGAGTCTAAGTTGAAAGATAACGCCTATTGCGGAGTTGGAACTTTAGAAGAGTTGGAACACTCTCAGGTTCATTGCTTTCTCTCATACTATACCTCATTGATCCTACCGGACTTCATACTATATTCCCGAATTCCTATTATTTCCTTCAATTTAATCTCATTTGTTTTTTCAATTTAATCATCGAAATTTAATTGTTAGTTCTTGATCTAACGAGGTGATTTACGAATAATTGCATCATTATATCAATTTCTTCATTTTAATTTTTTTTTTTTTGTTATTTTTCGTTTATTACTTTCCCTTTTCTTTGTTTTTAATATTGTAATTTTTTTAATTTTTGGGTTTAACTTCGAATCTTGAGTTCGTTTGTGAGTAGTTAAGTATTTTTGGGTTTAATTTGGTTTTTTGGGTGGTTTGTGGTCGAATTTGGTGGTGGTTCTTAAGGGGGATGGTGGTTGAGGTCTGTGGGTTGAAGAAGGCTGCTTGGGCTTGATTAGGTGGTTTCTATTTTTTTTAATTATTATTATTATTTTGCGAATTGGTGGGAGTGGGAGGTTATCGCAGGGTGGTGATGTTGGGCTTCATTTTTGTTTAAGTTTTTGTTTTCATTTAAGTATTTAATTTATGTGTTTGTATATGTAATTGCTAATTTAAAAGTCTGTATATTATGTATTTTTTGTTTTTTTTTTATAAATGTGTGCTAATTTTGAATCTCTTTGAAAAACTTTCAAGATAAAAAGTGAAGATCAATAATTTTACTTGTTGAATAATTCGATTGGCGTGAGATTGATACAAAGATATGCTTAAAAGGCCTTGGTTGTAACATTAATTAGTTTTTTTTTAGTACGAGTATGACTTTACTTTTGTAAAATTTAGGATATAATATTGATTGTACTCTAGTATTAATGAGATTTTTTTATTGGTTTTGTAATATCTTTTTACGAACTACGTGTATTCTTTAAGTATTAATGAATTGTTTTTTTTTTTGTTTAATTGAAGCATATTTTTTGAGGTAATAATTGAAAATGTATATATTAAAATACAAATTTTATTACTACCTCCGGATCATATAATGCAACTTTGAAATTTTTTTATATCTCATAAATAATACCCCAAAGTTGCATATAATATGATCTGGAGGTAGTATTTTTTTTAAAAAAAAGGAAAAAAGAGACAAACTATTAGAAATAGGCGGTCTCAATTTTTGTAACACTGAAACCATCTATTTGAAATAGGTGGTCGTAGTCTATGAAAAACCGAGACCATCTATTTGAAATAAGTGGTCTCAAATTTTTAAAAAATTGAGACCACCTATTCTAAATTAGTGGGTTATCTTTTTAAATCAAGAGACCACTTTTATGAAATGGTATCTTAGGCAAAAGAGACCTGTGAGCTAAAGACCACCCCTAAGGTAGTCTCTTTGGCCATTTTGATACGATCTCTTTGGCCAATTTTGTAGTAGCGTCAATTCACTTTCATCTCAAAACTAAAGGATTTTTTATGTCCTTGTCGTGTGCAATTACTATGATATATAAATGGATCAAATTATGGAGATAATGAAGTTAGTACATTAGGGTCGTCGTTTATTATAGCTAGAGGTACTAACGATTTTTGGTCTAGTAACATAGCCCAAAACCTAATTGGATGGATCCTATAAAGTCACACAAAGGGTCTAGATCGAGCACGAGAGGACAAGGCCCATGATGGGCCTCATTCTCTAGTATGGTCGGCCATGCATGTGGAGTACATTTGAGGGTTTTGGGCTTCCTAACCCTAGTTTGATTATAATGGGATTATAAATAGACTAGGTGTCTAGGTTTTGCAAAATGCTATTAACTGATCAGTAAGATCAAACCCTAATTAGAAAACACGAGAACAACCCCTCTCAAACTCTCCTTTCTCTCCTCCCTTGGCACCAGTGTGGTGGTTCGTGGTGGTGGTGGTTCATGGTGGTAGGCTTAGTCCATTAAAGGTGGTGATCGTGGTTTTCCTCTATCACGCGACCAATCTAGTATTGGTGGACGACTCGTTCGAAGCTCGTGGACTAAGTAGAGGAGCAACGCTTGGGGCTGTATTCTCTCCCTGATTTGTCATTCAAATTGCTATATGGAATTTACGCTTCAAAGGTATGATTATGCGTCTTGTGTGTTATGCATGTGTTCTTGGGATTAGGTACTTTTATAAACATGATTCATGATTTTTCCCTGTGTAGTACCTATAAACTCTTACAGTGGTATCAGTTAGCCTCTTACATGAATGCGCTTGATCATATAAATACGATTAATTTGAAGTCCATGTTAATTTTATAATAAATTAAGAGGGAGAATTAATTTAATTATGGTTCAATTGTTATATTTAATGTGATTAAACTTTTGGAATTGATTAAATGTGATTTAATTATGCTCAAAATAGTCATGAAGAGGACTGAATTAAGCCCTAGATCATTCAAAATTTTCGAACCCTAAAACCCTAATTTCGGATTTTCGAAAACCCTAACCCTAATTTTGAATTATTTCGAAAATTCCTAGACCTAAAATGTGATTTTTGTGCTTGATTTTGATTTAATTCGAATTGTTTTATGTTTCATAATTTTAATCGGATTTTTTTCATAAAAATATTTTTGTATGATCATCGATTTAGTTTTAAGAGTTAAAATTAAATTAGGATTAATTTTATGATGAACCGTAATTTTAAAATTGAATGATGATTTAATTTTAATTTTTTTGACTGGTTTTTATTTAATTTTAATAAAAGTTATTTTTAATTAATTTTAATTATTTTTTGACTGGCTAGGTAGCGCAGCCACAGCGGTTACCGACCAGGTGGCAGTCCAAGGGGACGGGGAAGGAAGGGCGACGGTCCTGGTGGCTAGGGAAACATCTGTGAAAGCGTTGCATGCTGCTGCCGTGGCTGCCTCTGCTTCTGGTCAGTTACAGTGGCTAGCCTCGGCTAGCCAACCACTTAGGCGGGTGCATGGAACTTGGTGGAAGAAGTGCAAGATGTGCCACGTGTTGTGACACGTAATCGGGACAAGCTCCTTGGTGGTCACCTGTCGGGGTTGACTATCATTACACTTGAAGATCGAAAGATTTGAAGTGGTGCAGCCGAACCAAGGAAGTTCGACCGAGCCTCCCATGCCGTAGCAAATCAGATTTCAACATTTTTGTAGTAGAGGTCGAAATCCAAAAGTTCGACCGAACCAGGAGCAGAGAAGTTCGATCGAACCTACTCTTGGTTCGACCGAACCTACCCAGTTGTCCGACCTAACCTACCTAGTGTTTGGCCGAACCTTTTCTCGTTTTTCAGTCATTTTCGTACGGACTATTTAAGTTCCTTTTGAGAACGTTTTGCATTAATTTTCATTTTTGAACTTTGCTTGATTTTGTAATTAATGAGACTTTCTCTCTCTACCCAAAATCTTTGTGATTATTTGCTTTCTGTGATTGCTACTGTTTTGGGTATTTATCTCCCTCGGGAGAGTTACATCACAAAGATTGGTCCAGCTCAAGCTGCACCTGCAAAATAACGGAGACTCCGGTTGTTGGAGTTCCGCCTCCGACGATCAAGTTAGTAACTTGAAAGAGAAGAAAGAGTGCGGAAATTTAGGTGGGTATTTGCTTGGATTCCAAGCTCAGGTGTTTCTCTGATGACAAAGAAAGTAGGTTTAATAAATGATTGATTGTGTTCCAAAAATGGGGGAATATCTCCCTATTTAAAGGGTCATTGGTAGGTGTGCCCCTATCTAGGTCACTTGACCTAGATTTTAGTGGGCTGCGCCAAATTATGGCGCTTCTTGGGATTTGTGCTTAAAGGCCGCAATTTAAGAAGTTATCTGAAGGGGACACGTGTTAGATGACTATTGGTTTACTTGGGCCAACCTAAGCTTGACACGTGGCCTTCTCTTATTGGTCCACATTTCTAGGGTATTTTTACCCTAAACATTTTCCCCTCACAAGGGTCACGTGGCTGCCACGTGACGCCTGTGACACATGTCTACCTGTGAGAGGTGAACATTAAAAACGACTAGTAAATCTAGGGCGTGACGGGGATGCCCCCGTTTCACCCCTGTATAAATAGGAGATTACCCCCCCTTCTCTCACTATTTCATTTTCTTTGACTTTCTAGAGAGAGAAAGAGAGATTCTCTGATTATGTCTACGTCAGATTCTCTAGATTTCCGTGTGCTAACTGTATAACACCCGGTCACCCGTCTGTAGCAGTTTTTAGAGTTTCTAGAGTTAAATTAAGGTAACTGCCTGTACCATTTTTTAGCTTTTCCTACTTTTCAAGTTGTATACATTCTTTTTTCGTCTATATACATAGTCTTTAAAAAAATAAAATGAGCTCTCAATCTACACACTCGGCACTACCTAGGACATTTAGCCGGTCTCCCGGAACGGCTGAAACTAGAACAGGGGGTGCCTTTTCTAGACTGTCGGAAGTGCTGTGCTCATCCTAGAATTCCTCCTCTGTGTCTGTGCAGGACACAATGGCTAGAGTAAAAAAGACGGCTAGGAAGTCTAAAAACGGCGCGCTATGGAAGTGCCCGCCGATGAGGTTTTCTAGATGGGGAACAAGAGGATTCGGAGGAGAGAAGTGGTTTTGACGATGAGACTCCCTCTTCCTTCGGGAGCTCAACCATAAGAGAGGTAGACGGTGAAGAGGCAACCTCCTTTAATGAATCCGAGGAAGAGACAGGCGGCAATTAGGCCGCCGAAAGATCGGAAGCCGAGGTATCTGGCTCCGATCAAGATAATTTTGCAGCTGACTATCAGCAGCCGGCGAAAGCTTTAGTTAACCCAGACTTAAAGAAGATTAGAATGCTTCCCCCTGCTGAATAGTGGCTTCAGGTCCTTCAAAGAAAAACACCCCTTGGAAAGGGGTGAGATATTATAGTTCCGCCTGGCGATGCGGTTATGGCATGGGAGGATAACATAGAAAATGCAGACCACCACTTTGTCTGCTATGAGGCGGTAATAGAAGCCGACCTCCGGTTTCTCCTCCATATTGGGATTAGGAAAATCTTGAAGGTGTATGATCTGGGTGTCTGGCAGCTCACCCCAAACTCATGGGTGAATATTTTGAGTTACATTGCCGCCTGCGAGCTCCTGAATATTGCCCCAGCTTTTCCGCCTTTGCTCATATGCACTATTTGAGTAAGGCCCCAGGCGGTCATGAGGCGTGGTATAATCTTACCATGTTGCCCCAGTATTAGATGACTTTGGACAAGGTATCCAAATGGTCCGGGTGGAAGGAGAAGTTTTATTTGGTCTCCTCCCCCACTCTGAGACATAACTGGACGCTGTACCGGTACAATAAGGAATCGGTTCTCCTGGGTAGAAAATGTCATCTCCAGATATTCTCTTCTAGGGCCCGAGAGCAAAAAATGGATCCGGGTTTCTACGAAACCACAACTGAGCCCTTGGGGATGGGACTCATATTATTGTGCCTAAGAACTGGATCCCTCACCCGGACTTCCTCAAGGATGAAAGGTTCCTGTCCGCCTACAGGTTAAGCACCATGTTTCCCAAGGGTAGATCAACTTTGCATCCGGCTTTTTTGTTGTTTTTTTGTTTTTATTCGTTAACTTTTTATTATTTTTTCACAAACTTTTTATTTTCTCTTTACAGCTGACGCCTTGAAGATGGTTGATCCCGAAAAAACCCTGGCTAAGTCTGCTGCGCAACTGCGCAAAGAAAGCACGCTCTCCAAGAGAGCAGCCATCGAGGCCAAGAAAGGCGGGGTAAGACTGCCTGACATGTCTAGTTTCCTTTAAATTTCTTCCAAGAGTTTTTTGCCGGCTGGTAACATTTGATTCATTATTTGCAGGATGCCACTAAACGCGTTCCACGCTCCATCTTCAAGCTTTTCAAAAGCCAAGGGGAGGAGTTGGAAAAAACTCCGGCTGCTAAGGCCGGAAGGAAGAACCCCTCCCAGTTAACTTCTACTGCCAATCCAGATCGTCCTACGAACGGTGGCAAATCACCTTCTGCCATGAAATTCTGAGTGAAAGCTTAGAACGTTCAGGGAAGAAAGCACCGGATGCCTCTACGACATTGAAGGGTGGCCAGCCACCCAATGTTGCAGCCGGTGCGGCAACGACTTGGGAGGAGTATGCCTTTAAGCCCCATCCTCAAACCCAAGGTAAGAACAAGATTGAACTTCCTTGGCCGCTTGACTTTATGCGAGTCAAGACTAAGGTTGACCCTTCGGGGGGTTCAGTCAGCAGCAGGCAACAAATGAATGCTAACTACGCTGCATCCCTCTCACCAAGTACTTCTTTTGGTGCAGATCTTACATCCGACGAGCCGGATCTTCCTAGGTTTGCTAAACGGATGTTGAGGACCCTCACCCGGTCTCAAAAGTACTCCATACCTGTTCTGCAGGTAGTGGACTTTAACCGGATAATGGGCCAACTGGCTGAGGTAAACTATTCTTCAACTTGATTATGATATTTTTCCTTTATTTTTACCAAGTAATTCATATTCCGGCTTACCTTTCTCAGGTTATGCTGATGGTGGATGGGCTCCGGGGCCCCTTTAGGCGGAAACAAGGTAAATGACGCCAAACGGAGGGCCACTGAAAACCTCAACTCTGCTGAATATGCTAATTATATGTGTGAATTAAAGATTAAAGAATTAAAGTTGAAAATGGAGGAGCTGATCCGGAGTCTGATGGCTACTAACGATGAAGCCAACAGTCGGGCTAATGACCTTGAGCAAAAACTGGCAGATGCGAAAGCTGAACTCAAGGAATTAGAGGACGCTAACACGAAGAACACAAAGCTCCGGGTAGACGTCGCCCGGTTGGGGGTGGAGATCGTCAACCTGTGGAACCAGCAGGAAGATGAGATTGCCAAGGAGCAGATCCGGCTGAGCGAGGAGAATAAGCGGGACAATGCAGCCCGCCTGAAGATAGCATGGGGGCTCCTCTATCCGAATGTGGACTTTTAATTCTACAAGCTTAAGTATGGTTGCACCACTGCGGTGTATGGTGCCCAAGTGGTGGGAGAGGCAGCTCCGCCTCGTTTCAAAGACTAAGTTGCAGAACTGGGATATGAAGTCTTAGATAATGAAGAGGAGTCGGCGGAGGATGAGAAAAACCAAGACAGCCAGCCTCAGGCGGCTGATAATCAATCTGAAGCCCTCCCTTCCGGTCAAAACCAGTCGGGTCAGCAGCCTCCACCTCAGCCTTAAACCAGCCTCCCCAAATTCTGCGGCAGTATGCCATTTTTTTTTCTTTCCGGCTTGTTAGCCGAGTATGCTGTACTTTTACCAACTAAGGAGTTGGGTATACAATTTTTTCTTTTGTTTCTTCACCAGATGGGATTCCGATTAACAATTATTTTGGCCTTTGTGCCATTTTTAATTTAATGAATGAATTATTCCGACTCAGTCGGATTTTTATACATGTTTGAATTTTTTAAATTAAATTTTGCGTATAGACTGTAATTATTTGATATTTTGCCTAACTTATAAAAAGCATGCGTCAGATTGTAATCCGGCTGTTCTTGCCCTTGGACGGCTGTGTGATTGGTTTCATTTCTAATTGATTGATTGGCTTGAAAACATTTGATACTTGGAGAAGTATGAGATGTTTTTAGGCCAATCAATCACAATAGTGATTGCCCCAAACCAAGTGCACAGCCGGTCATTAAAACAGGTGCTTGAAGCCTCTTACCCAAGTGGTAATATTCCGTCTGGGGTTGTTACATAGCCATTACACAAAACTCTTTTGGTCCAATAGGGAGAATCTGTGCAATTTTGGAATAAATAATTTAAGTAAGAACTTTGGTCGAGAACCAACTAAAGCCTTAAAACATCCGGTACTTCAAAAACTTAATTGTTCTATATAGTATTCTGGTCAGACGGCTATGAGTTGACCAATTTGGTCATTCAATCGTTGTTGTCTGCATAGATATGTAGAGATGACAAAGACTCTGCTCTCTGCGACGATTGCACCCGAAGGGGTGTCGCCGGACACTGTTGTCCATATTGGGACAGGCGGTTTTGTAATATAAGCATCCATCCGGCCATTGGACTTTGGTCTTGTTCGAGACCGATTGTATAGCTACTAAGCGTTTTTGTGCCTAGTTTATTAATCTAGCCATTAGCCGCATGTTATTTGGACGTTGAGTTTGCCACTAAGTTTCGAACTTAGTTGTCTTAGCAAATAATCCGTCTGAGCGTTGCACAGGCGGAATAGTAGTCATAAAGATATCAACACAATTGAAAACAAAGCCTGATTTCTCATTAATAGACTTTTTGTTTACAAAAAATTTACAATTCTCAGAAGTAGTGCTTTTTTAAGTTACCTACATACCAAGTTCTAGGCAGGCGTTTGCCGTCTAGGGTTTCCAGGCGGTAGGTGCCATCCCTTACTTCTTCATAGATCCGGTAGGGGCCTTCCCAATTGAGGGTTAGCTTTCCAAGCTCATTTGCCCTACCAGTTGCCTCCATTTTTCGTAGCACAAAGTCACCAACTTTCAAAAGGCGCTTGTGTACTTTCTTGTTGTAGGCTCTCGTCATTCTCATACAGTATATATTGAGATGACGCAGGGCAACATTGCCTTTGCGTTCCGGGAGGGAGTCCAATGCCAGCAGCATGGCCTCCCAATTTGCTTCTTCATCAAAAAGCATGACTCTGAGAGTCGACTCATAATGTTCGATGGGCAAGACGGCTTCAGCACCGTATACCATGAGAAATGGGGTTTCACCGGTTGCCCCTTTGGCGGTTGTTCGGATGGCCCATAGGACATGAATCAATTCTTTTACCCATAAGCCACCGGCCCATTCAATTTTCTTTTTGATGCTGCCTGAGATGAGTTTGTTACAGGCTTTAACTTGGCCGTTTTCTTGGGGTCGGCTGATTAATGCAAAACAATGTGAGATCCCTTGATCTCCCAACCAAGTCTTAAGGTGAGGTGTTTCAAAGTGAGGGCCATTATCAAACACCATAGACATAGGTACCCCAAACCGGGTGATGACGTTCTTCCAAATGAAAGAGATGACATCCTTTGTCTTGATGTTCTTGACCGGCTCCGCCTCCACCCACTTGGTGAAGTAATCCACAGCCACCAAAATATAATGCTTTCCGCCTGATTTAGGCGTATAAGGACCCAAGATGTCCATGCCCCACTTAGCAAACATGACTGGGCTGTGGATTGCCATCAGATCAGTAGCCGAGCGATGAATAAGCTTGCCAAACCTCTGGCATTTGTCGTATTTCTTCACCAACTCTTTAGCATCTGCCTCAAGAGTAGGCTAAAAATAATGTCGCCTAGCTATAACGGCTAGGGATCTAGCGCCTGTATGGGAGGCGTAGTATCTCGCATGCAATTCTTCGAGAACTTCTTTCCCCTTCTCTGGGGTCACACACTTTAATAAAGGTTTAAGAAAACCCACCTTGAAGATCTCTCTATTTATCATCTCGAAGTTTGTTGCTCGTTTCTTCATAGCGGCTGCCTCTTGTGGTGAATGAGGAAGCGTGCCGTCTGTTAAATATGCCCGGATGCCATCCATCCAGGTAGAGGTTTGGTCTAGGATTCCAATGGGCTCTTTATATATGCTTCTCTTTTCTAGAACTTCCCAAAAGACTGACCGAGGTGTATCAGTACAGGTGGAAGATGCCTGTTTGGACAATGCATCTGCCTGGTTGTTATCTGACCTGGGCACTTGACTCAGCGGAATTCTTCAAGTGCCCCAGTCTCCTCTTTGACTGCCTGAAGATATTTGATCATAGTCGGGTGAGTTACCTCATATTTTCCCTCATACTGGCTTACGACCAACTGTGAATCAGAGTAGGCGTCAATTTTTGTTGCCCATGCTGCCTTACACATGCGGATTCCGGCTAGTAAGGCTTCGTATTCCGCCTCGTTATTCGAGGCCTGAAACTTAAACCGCAGTGTATATCGAATCTGTCCTCCTTAGGGGAATCATATATAATTCCTGCACCAAAACCGTTCTTTGTCGAGCTCCCGTCTACATACACTATCCAAACCTGATCAATGTTTTCCAGAGTAACCGGTCGCTTCATTTCTACAATGAAGTCGACAAACGCCTGAGCCTTCACTGCCATTCTGGGTTCAAAAGTGATTTCAAGACTTTGCATTTCAATAGCCCATTTCAACATTCTATCGGATGACTCCAAGGTAGACATTGGCCGCTTGAGGGGCTGATCGGAGTAAATTACAACCGGATGTGCCAGAAAATAAGGCTTCAGTATCTTGAATGCCATATATAAAGCAAGGCCAAAATTTTCAACCATGGGGTACCGAGTTCATCATTTTATAGCACATGACTAATGAAATAGACCGGGAGCTGGGTGTTGTCTCTCTCAGCAAGGAGAACAGCACTGAGGGCATGGTCTGGACGGCTAGGTACATGTATAACGTCTCTTTAGACAGAGGGCTAACAAGCCTTAGCAAAGAGTGTAGGTGTTTTTTCAGCTTTTGAAAGACCGCCTCAACATCATCCCCCCACTCAAATCTAGTCTTCTTCCTTGTTGCTTGAAAGAAATAAAGGCATTTGTCACCTGACCGGCAGAGGAACCTTCCCAATGCCACCAGGCAACTAGTTAGTCTCTGAACTTCCTTAACAGTGCGGAGTGACTTCATGTTAATCACCGCCTGTATCTTCTCAGGGTTAGCCTCTATCCCCCTTTGATCAACCAGGAATTCGAGAAACTTCCTAGACTAAACACCAAAGACGCATTTCTTGGGATTTAACATAACCTTATGCCGCCTGAGGGTGGTGAAGGCTTCTCGGAGATCATCAAGGTGATCCGTCTGTTGCTTGGATTTGACTATCACTTCATCAATGTACGCCTCCACATTCCTCCCAATTTGATTAATGAAGACTGTATTAATCATCCGTTGGAATGTAGCCGGCGAATTCTTCAAGCTAAACGACATTACAGCATAATAGAATAACCCCTAATCAGTGACGAAGGCCGTCTTCTCTTGATCTTTGTTCCACAGGGGTATCTGATGGAAGCCGGAGTAGGCATCCATAAAATTCATCAAGGCATGTCCGGTTGTAGAATCGACCAGACTGTCGATCTTTGGGAACGGATAGCTGTCCATTGGACATGCCTTGTTGAGGTTTATGTAATCAACACACATACGCCAGGTACCATTCGGCTTCTTCACAAGCACAACACTCGCCACCCAGTCGAGGAAATTACATGGCCGAATGAACCCAGCATCCAGCAGCCGCCGCATGACTTCTTTCCTCGCCGTGATTTCTTTTCTTTTGCCGGATGGACTTCTTTTTTAGATCCACGATGAGTTTATGGACAGCGAGATCCGGGCTGACGCCTGGCATCTCTCCCACTTTAAAGGCAAATATGTCTTTGAATTCTTTCATCAATAGGTGCAGATCTGCACCCATCCTAGCATAAGCAGCCATCCCAACCATAACAATATGCTCTAGTCGGCTGTCATCCAGAGGTATATCAATATGTCCACTAGCCGGTCTTCTGGTCCCCGTTCAGGGAACTAACAGAGCCATCATCCCTCTCATACTTAATGAGCATGACAGAAGGGATGATTACAACCTTGGCTTCGTTGAGGGTTGGGCGGCCTAACATGATGTTATAGGCGGTCAGTTCCTCAACGACCAAGAATTTGACGACTAAGTGTCGTCCTTTTCCTTTTTCACCCAGTCGGATAGGTAAGTCGATCCTACCGACTGGGTAAACCATTCCACCCCTAAAACCAACTAAGGGGTAGGTAACCAGATGCATGCTGTTGAGTTTGTATTTAAGCTTTTGCAGGCATCGGAGACTGATGATGTCCGACGAGCTGCGGTGTCAATAAGGATCCGCTCTACCAGCTGGTTGGCGACCTTACATTTAATGACGACCAGATCATCATGCGGACGGCGGACAGTACCCCTGTCCTTCTTAGTGATCAAAACATTTTGGAAGGAGGAGCTAGCTGCCGCCTGCTCATCATTATCATCATTGTCCGTCTTTCGAAGATGGCTCTGGGTGCCCCGGATGGTAGAGCCACCGCATGAGAACCCGTATGCTATAGTGTAGACCGATTCTTTATCAATTTCCGAGCTACTAGCAGGCTGGGGTGTCTTAGAGGACTGCCTCGGGTTTTTCTTATTAGTCACTTTGGACTTAGAAATGTAGGACTTTAACATCCCTTTGTTAGCCAGACGGTCCAACGCTCGCTGAAGACTGAAGCAGTCGTTGGTGTCATGGCCAACTTCCTCATGGAATTGGCAAAATTTATTTTTGTTCCTTGATTGAATGAAACTTTTAATTGTATTCTGCTTCTCTAGAGACATCCGGTCCTCGATCTCCATAAGGATGGAGTTACAATCCTTATTAAACTCATACTTGGGGACATATGGTTTAACTTCTTTCTTTTTCTTTTGGGACGGCTGGTTAGAATCACTCACCCCCATACTTCTTTTCTCTTCTTGATCTCATCTTTTTTCTTCGCCGGCTGAGTAGGCCGGCTGTCTTTTTGTCTGTCAGACTTCTTGGATTCCGATTGGCTACCAGGCAAGCAGAGGTCGGTTGCTTGAATATAGCTTTTTGCCTCCCTCAAGGACGTCTGTAGGGTAAATGCCCCTTTTCTGACAAGGTCGAACTTAAAGGTTGACCCGTCTCTCAGACCCTTGAAGAATTCTGTAAAGGCTACTTCGTCAGACAGTCCCTTAATCTGAATTATGGTCAGATTGAACCGCCTGACATAGGAGCGTAATCCTTCTCTCTCCCCCTGCTTAATGGTGCTGAACTCAAGACTTGTTTTCTTCGCAGGGATGTTCATTGAGATTTTGGAAGCAAACAAGAAGGCAAGCTTCGTGAAACTATCGATGGAACTAGCTGGTAGGTTGCCAAACCATTGTTGGGCAATGTCCTTCAATGTAGCCGGAAAACATCGACACCAAGTGGCATCATCCAACCCCTCTAAATACATGAGGTTGGTGTAATCCATGAGGTCATCTTTCGGGTTGGAAGTACCATCATAGGTACCTACCAACACATTTTAAACCTTGGCCGACTGTGGTGCCTCAGTTATTTCCCGGGTGAACGTAGAAGGTTGTTCACCCAGGTGGAGCAGACGAAGCTGCCAGTCCAGTGGCTGGACTTTGCTGTATACCGCCTGACCTCCGAAAAAGGCCGGCTGCATGAAATGAGGAGAATACGGGCCGTAGACCATAGGCGGTACGTACGGTGCATTCCCAATCATCTGAGGGCTAGAATGGAAGGTATTACCGCCTATATCGCTCTCATGCAGGGATTGTATATTTCCTGCATATGTATTCTTAAAGCTCTCTGGAAAGCTTGAAGTGGAAGCTGAATCAGACAGTTGTTGATTCCTCTTGCGGGTGATGATCTCCCGGGCATCAAGAGTTGATTTTTTGTTTCCCACCGGCTGTTCACTCCGGCGGGTATTATTAGTATTCCTCTTAGGCAGAAGAATCTTGGACCAGTCAGGGTCCCGGCTGCCTTCTCCTTAGGATGTGGAGTTGGCTGCCTATCTCTAACTGACTTCCTCTTCTCCAGAGGAGTCTTCCTTGCCGACTGACCCTTACTTGGGCCAACCCGGCTTTTGGTGATCAGATCCTTGATTTCACCCT